GTTGTGATAGCAGTTTTTGGAATATCGTCAGTAGCCATAGGGATTTGGTTATACGCTTTAACCAAGTCGATTTTCGAAAAGACAGTTGTACCTTTCAAGGTAGCTGTCAAATCGTGAATGTGAGGCAACAGGTAACGATCAGGAATAGTTTTCGCATTCAATCGCCGATAGTCACCAGTTGGACGCCAATCGTTGCTGTCCTTTTTAGGGACCATGTGCATAACAGGTGCACAAGGGCCGTTTGACGGTTGTATGATTCCTAACTCTATCATGTGATCAAGTTCGTTTTCAGCCAACCTGAGGTTTTCGGAGGCTAGTCGTCGTGCAGGTGGTCCTATAGTGGTGGTGTGATGTGTGAGGTTGCTGGTTACACACGTTAATTTCGACTGTGGTTGATATATTTCAGAATACCTATCGCATGGTGGTTGATAAGATGGGTATATCGTGTGCTTAATCGTGACTGCAGATGATCCGCAACTGGAAAAAGAAGTTACGCAAACAGATGAATTGGTATTTCCGTCTACTAGCCTCCGTTTGTGCGTGTCGATGAGTAGATTGTGGTGTTGTAGGAGGTCTATACCAGTGATTAACATAGAAACATCTGCAACAACGAAGATCCAGTGGATGGGTTTGAGTAAACCGACGTAAACGTACCTTTTTACCATATGTGGTGATAGGCTTTCCGTTTGCTGTCTGTAAAACTGATTCGTGAAGCCAGTCGTTAGAATTTGCAGAAAGAACGCTTACTTCTGCGCCAGTACAGACGAGGTAGCGAACTTTCGTTATTACATCTGTGACGTATAACAGACGCGTATGTTCATCGGCTACGGTTGTCGTTCAGGCGTCCCGGATTGGAAGTTTCCCGAATTTTTTTTCGTGACGGTCGATTTTGAGTTGGGAAAATCGTAGGGTTTTCTGCAATTTCTTGAGGACTTTCCATGCTGGTTACGAAACCAGTACCAGTTGGGGTTATCAGTCTCCCGCAATGGGACGAAACAGCCGTCTAGTGCTTCCAGGTTTTCCATGCTGGTCTAGCTTCAATTGACTTATGATCTCAACCGCCGAAATAACGTGTAGGTGTATGACATAACTCTGTTATGTCATTCTGGGTCCCTTGAAGCTTTTCTTTGGCCGAAAAATCCTCGACTTTAGATTTGATGATTTCTAAGATGCAGTCAGCAGATGCAGCCAGCTCGTCTACGGTGTTGTTTTGAAACGAGACCAGCACAGCTTGCACCTGTTGAGGAAGTTTGGATAAGAACAGTTGTCTCAATCGTCCATCGTCAAAAGTTCTTTGGCCGATAACATCTCTCATTCTTAGCAACATGTCTGTCGCAGAACCGTGATGCAGATTGATATTATTAAGGAGTTGGTCTAACCTTAGTCGATTGGTTGGATATCCATGTTTTAGGATAGATCGTTTCAGTGTTCCGTAGGGTTCCGAAACATCACTACTAAACATGCTAGGTGTTACGTACCTGTTGAATTCGCGCGGTAGTGCCTTGATCACTGAGAGAAATTGTGCACGTGTGTCGTTTACGCCGTGCTCGTAGAAGTCGGCTTCTGCGTAGCAGAACCAGGTTTCCATGTCTGGCCAGAAGGGCATTGGTTGGAACGAAGGTGGAGACATAGCCGTTAGCTTAAGTACCTTGGGTGTCTGTTCTGTCATGGTGAAATATCAAGTACAAGAATGAATGAGTGAAAAAAAGAATATGTGTCACAATATATAAAAAATTAATGTAAGGCGATAATATACAGAATTGCAAAAAGGAACAGACTCACAGTTTACAATTTGGTGTACCACATCACATCGGGTCCGCCAATGAAGATGCCACAAGTATACGGAGTTTGACAACGCCTTAAACAACAACACCTAATATGAATCGGACCCACCAAGTGAAATCAAAAGACAAAAGCAAGGAGGTTCGAAGACAGATTTGATAGGCTATCAATATATCGAGGATCGTCTGATCTAATTTGGCTAGCGATTACAGAGGTTGTTGAGCACGGCGTTCCCACTCATGATCTAGTGTTCATGCGTGACCGATTACCTTCAGTTTCCCTGTATCCAGTAAAATTAGTGGGGTAAGCTTCAATGTCGAAAACTTACAGAGCTATTTATTATGGGGATCTGTTTACTGCTACGATTTCCTTGAAATGACTGCTTTTTTAGTTGCATTTGTTCTTCATGTGGCCATGCATACAATTCCGAATAAGTGATGTTATATTTGAATTTACTATCAGGTACTAATATGATCCTGCGGTTGAGGTGAATCTTGATTCTTAGCATAAGCATTTGAAAACAATGGATTATATGGAAATTGAATTTTATATGTGCCTCATAACATATCTTCACCACGAATGTCATTTCGAGTCTAGATCGAAATTAAAGAAATGGAAAACAATAGGACCAAATGTAAAAGTTTCTGTAAGTCATAAACTGGAGAAAACAATTGTCATTATGAGCAGCGTGGTTCCTGATTGTCTTCAGTCTTCAGTAATAAGGATAGTAGGTTGATGAACCTGTGTTAATCCAGTGAAGGTCCAGCTTTTCCTTGAAAGTATTCACTGATGTGGCTGATACCACTTGTTCGGGTAAGGCGTTCCAATGATTGACTACTCGATGAGAAAAACGGGATCCAACTTTAAGTTTATTAGATCGTGGTTTATGAACCTTCTTGCTATGACCTCGGAGATTATTAGTGCTGGAGGGAGCAAAAATATAAGACATATTAACACCCAAATCATAATTAAAGATACGAAATGCTAGTATAAGGTCACCTCGTGTCCTACTATACGACAAGGGGAAAAGATTTAGGCGTTTTAAACGCTCATCGTCAGGGAGTCTAGAAAGACCCTTCACTAATTTCGTTCCCACACGCTGGACACGCTCAAGAAAGTTAGTATCCTTTACCAGACACGGGCTAGCTGCTTGGATACAGTACTCTAAATGTGGTCTAACATATATGGGATATAAAATTCGAAACGTTTCCTCGTCAAAAGATTTGAACGCTCGGTGAAGTGACCATAATGCACGAAAACCTCTGACAGCGGCTGACTTGCAATGCTTAGTTGTTTTTAAATAATTACTTAATACTACTCCTAAGTCTTTATGCTCTTGAACGCATGGAAGAGGTTTACCCTCAATAGTGTAACGGTAACTATTACCGTGACCGATGTGCATTTGTACACTCTTCCTAGCATTGATTTCTAAGCCCCACTCTCGAGCCCATCTAACTAAATCGTCTAAGTCAGCTTGAAGATCCAGATGATCAGCCGCACTTTTTATTGTTCTCCAGATTTTTACATCATCCGCAAACAATAATGTCGACGACCTAAGTAACAGCGGTAACTCATTAACGTAGAGAAGGAAGAGCAGAGAGCCTAAGATGGTGCCTTGGGGTACACCACTTTTGACCGGCTTTCAATCGGATAGCATTCCGTTGACCCTAACTCTCTGTTTGCGGTCACATAAGAAATTTCCTATCCACTCATATACAGTACCTATTATTCCGAAGCTCGTGAGCTTCTGCATAAGACCTACGTGTGAAACCTTGTCAAATGCTTTGCTAAAATCTATGAATATCACGTCGACAGACAGACCGTTATCTAGGGCTGCTGTCCAATCCTCCCTCGCAATAAGCAAGTTAGTCAAGCATGAACGCTTGTCACGAAATCCATGTTTCTCAGGAGCTAACAGATTGTGTAAATCTATGTGGCTTAGCAACCTAACCCGAATTATCTTTTCGAGTAGCTTAACGACTATGCTAGTTAGACTAACAGGCCGGTAGTTAGATACTATCTGTCTCTGACCGTCCTTAAATATAAGACTGACTATAGCGTCCTTCCAATCTCTAGGGAGTTAAGCGAGTGAGAGGGACATGTTGAAGAGTGTCGCAAGCGGTTTTGAAATAATATCTGCAAGAGATGACAGCATCCGTGGACGTAACCCGTCAGGGCCCGGTATCTTACCAGGTTTGAGGTTACTTATCAACGGAAGGACAGTTTCCTCAGTCACCTGTACAGATTCAATGGTTGGTATCTCGGTGTGAGTGTGATAAGTATTTGTTACAATAAACGTAGAGAAGACTTCGCTAAAGTAGTCTGAAAAAGTCTCGGCTTCTGCTCGATCTGATTCAGCTAGTAATTCTGAATTGTCGTGTAACAGCAACGGGGGAATACTATCACTACGTTTCATTTGCCGTTTAACATACGAAAACAATAGTTTCGGACAAGTACGGCTATCATATACTAACTGTCGTTCGTAAGTGGTACGGGATTTGGCTATGGTTTTCTTACAGATATTACGAAATTTTTGATACTCACGCTTAAGTGGTGCATGACCTGTCAACAAGAATAAGTCCCAGAAATGTTTCCTACGCTTTAACAGCTTCCGGGTTTCCTTATTAATCCATGGAGGGCAATGTGATAGTTTACGTGCTGACCATGGGATAAACGGCGACGTTACGGACTCGAATGTAGCCTTAAACTTATTCCATTCACCTTCGATCAATCCATCCGCGTCGACCGACCAATCAGTCGAGATAGCACAGTTTCTGATTTCCGGAATATTGGCTCGCCAGATATTGGGACGGGATGGAGCAGATACGAATTGTATACCATGTGTCCTAAACTTAAAGTTGATTGTTGATAAAGAGGTTGAGAACTTATGTGTCTCACTCTTCTTCGTCTTATCGTCTAGAGAAAAGGCCACATTACCGTCTTTAAAGGTTCACTAATGCTGCTCCTGTATCAGCCACTACTGGGTTACTAATTGGGATGCAACTAGTATTCCGAAGAATGATAGTAAGAAAGTTAAATATTTCGAAGTGAGTTCCTATCTCGAATATGTAGCATATACTCCGAAAAATTCATGGTAATGATGTTACTTCAGCAATATCAACTTCTTGGGGTAAGTAATTGACCATCTAAAAGCCCAGACAACGAATTAAATTTAATCTAATAAAATGTTCCTTAGTTTATTAAATCAGATAAAATAAAGAATATTCAGCATCCATTGTCATCCTTAATTATCAAGAGGAAATAAAAATAAATTGATTTTACTAGCATATTTCAAGTCTGTCGAATATTATTTTGAGGTCTTAGAAGGCCACGTGGTGGTAAATTTGACCCTGATCGATGTAATTGCATCCAAAGTTTGTTTCGCCGGTTGATAGTGTATTTCGTGTGTATATATGTTGTGTATTGTCCCTTAGTTTATTGTGCTTCCGTCTATTAATTGTGATACATCCAACGTTCCACTTGAAATAGACTATATTTTTCAATGTTTTTTTACAGATAGTTTGATTTTCTCGCTCGACTACTGAGCAGTGAACACTCTGAATACATATAGTTCTACTGAGTCGTAGTGTTAATTGCTTGCACGCATAGATTTCGTTTTCGCAATGGCGTCCAGGGTTGGTCATAGACCTGAAGGTACAGATGGTGCGGATTTTCGTCATAGAGAACGAGTTTGTACTCAATACAGCTTGAGGTATGTTCATTTGTAGATATATTAGTACTTAAATAGCCCGTTATTAAAACGTCGTATCAAATTTGTTTATTTACTTCACCTAATGTTGTGGGTGCTCATGTTCGCTCGCCTGCTACCGGAACTATGCTTAAGACTTGGATTCCGAACAAGGCTTATGGTGGAAAAGGTAATAATAAACTTCATTCTAAGTACCTAATATAGTGGCCATTTCCTCAAGGTGAGTTGTGGGAGTACGTCTGGCTTTTCGGTAGTATCTTCCCTACCCTATTCGGATATATCTCATTACAAAGAAGCCGAGCTGGATTGATGCGAGTTTCCCTTACTGGAACTGTCATTTTCGGTCTTGGCACTGTAGCTGTTGGATGCTTCACAAACGCATTCGAGCTGATGACATATTACCAAAGTCGTGTGGCTAAGCACTATTTCTATGAATTTCCCGTTGTCGTCTTGACCTACATATTTTTCTCATTATGTGTTCAGGTACACGGCTTCTCTGTCTATTTCGGTTACAAGTTATACTGTATCTGGTCTGTTAAGGTGCGCAAAGTGCGGTGATTGTTGTTCTCAGGCTCGTTCGCTTCACGGTGATCAATGGAAGCAGAAAGTATCCCCGCTTTCTGCATTACTTTTGTTGGGAACCTGACTGTTTTGAAAGGCCGAGTATATTTCTTAAATGAATGCAGTAGTTTCCAAATGTTTGTGTACAGTTCCTCATTAAAAAGTATTATTCAGTTTTTGTAATTATTCTCGCTAACCTTAAACAGTCGTTATCAACTCTTTCGTATGTACATAGCTTTAATATATATGATATATTGACAGCCTCTGGTCAACAATCTTGTTTATTTCGCTACGGCTTAGTTCACGAATGCCTGGGAATGTAAAAAATATATTGGCTTCCATCCGATGACAATATATTTAAGTCATTCAAATTCATTTTTGGCGAACGAATTTGTAGATTACAACTGTTAGTTACTAGTGTTTAATGCCACTTTTCATCGACATAATGAATTATTGGTTAGCAAGATTAATTACTGCTTAGTTGTTCGAACTATTTCATTTGTGACTTCATCCTCTATGCTTAGTTTGGCATGAACATACCTTAGATATTTGAAACTGCAGTTCGTTTTTCTGTAAATACATGGAAGTCCATTGTAGCCGATTAAATCACTATGCCTCATAATAAGCACCTCTGTGGAGTTTTTTTTAAAATATTTTCTAACTTCAAAACTGTTGTGTATATGAAGTAGTTTGATCGTATCCATAAGCATGAGTCAGTCAGTCAGCTACAATGTAGGACCAGGCACATATATGTATAGGTCCAAGTTACCGTACCTCATTAACACAACAAGACGGACACCGGATTCATAAAAGTAGTTAATTCAGAGGTGGTAATATATAAAAGAAAGATTGCATATAAGGATATAATACAGGAAGGAAGAATTAGTTCGTAGAAAGAAAGATATGGAGTGATTTTATTCTCTTAGTTTAAGGGAAGGCAGAGAGTGTATACACCGACACCATTGTGATCGATTCTGAGCCATGTCATCAAGAGTCTCCAACCATTGGTTACGATAGTCACGTGGACCCCGACAAAATAGTCTACATCTCCCAACATGGCTCAGACTAGAAGTTAATGACTTCAAGCATTGATACCACGTTTTGGTTTGGCCGCCTTTAGCTTTCAACCATCTCCAACACCGGTTAGCATTGCACGTCGTGGTAATCGGTGTCCAGGCATACGTAACACGTGGCCCAAGCATCTCTGTCGATGAAGAATCACAACCTCATCAACTGATTTACCATCAATCCATGATAGCCTGTGTCTAACCTAACTATTACTTACCCGGTGATACCAGCAGATGCGACCAATATTTCTAAGACATTTGTGGTCGAACACTAGTAGCTTATGAGTGTCTTCTGCTCTTAATGGCCATGTTTCGCTGCCTTAAAGTAGAACAGAACGAACTAATGCACAGTATACTCGTCCCTTAATTGATAGACAGATATCTCGCCTTCACCATAGGTGACATAAGTTGGTAAAAGCCAGCCGAGCTTTTCGAATCCGTGCTGAGATTTCTTCAGACACCAATCCATTTGCGCTGATCCAACTTCCAAGATAAGTGAAGTTGTCGACGCGTCCAACTACTTCAATCTCTATCCTTAGCTCACGAGTTCAAGCAGGCCAGTCCTGAAGCAACAACTTGTATTGTTGCTCAGTAGCTACTAAAAGACTGCATTTTATCAGCGTATTCACCAAACAGGACTATTTCAACTGCATATTCTAAGTTGGTAAGTGGACCTCCTGGGAGACTAATCCAGAAACCATAGGTCTATGATGAAATTAAACAGAAATGGAGATATTGGACAGCCTCGACGGACAACACTTGATGTTGCAAAAGCAGATCACAGTTCGCCATAAGCTCTTACTCGACTGGAAGTATTGGAGTAAAGTTTCCACAAGGTTTGTGTACTTCTGAGGTACGCCTTTCAGTGACAGACACTGCCACAGAATCTCGCGGTCTACTGAGTCAAATGCTGCTTTTAAGTCAAGAAAGACCACCATTGTCGGACGCCGATAAGTATGCCTATGTTCTAGAACCTGACGAATGGTGAATATGTGGTCGATGCAGCCACGAACAGGTCTGAAGCCAGCTTGGTTTTCTCGTGTTTGCAGTTCACAAGTCTTAGTTAGGCGTCTGATTATTATTGAGGCTAGTATTTTAGATACTATATTTGTTAAACTAATCTCTCTGTGGTTGTCACGAGATGATTTTGATCCTTTCTTGTATATTGGAACGATAAGTGATTGCGACCAGTCAGATGGAATAACATCTGACTCCCAGATCTTAGCTAAAATATTAGTCAACCTAGTCGATAAAACTAGATCACCATCCTTAAAGAACTCTGTAGGCAATCCATCTTTCTCGTTTCAGATTAGCTATAGCTTTTTCAACTTCGATTAGAGTCGGGGGGACTACTTCAGTGTTCCATTCAGGCTGTTTGGGAATGGTAGGTAGCTGAACTGTTCTCTGAAATGTTCCGTCTATCGTTCTAAACGTTTGGGCTGAAAGTAGATAAGTGTCGTCTTTTTAGGAGATCGTCTCACCTACACTTGGCTTATTAATTCCAGTTTCTTTTATTAGTCTGAATAACTGTCTGGTGTTACCTATAGCCGCTGCCTTTTCCATCTCTTTTGCTTTCGTTGCATACCACTGCTCACGGTCGTTCCTTAGACTTTTGGTTAACGTAGATCTGATCTGCTTTCGTTCATCATCGTGTTCGCAGACTGATGGGATCAGTTGAAGAGATTCTATCAATACAACAGACTCACAAGAAATCCATTTGTTTAAATCAATAATAAATGTCGCTGTTGTTTCCACAGTTTGTACATCTTTCCAAGCAACATCAGGGCCAGCCTAGTTTTCAGTACTACCTAAGTGTGACCACAGTTGTTCCTGGAACCTACTTTTGGTTTTCTCGCTACTCAGTTCAGTTCTGATGGGTCTTTTCAGTGTTGCTTTTTCGCGTTCAGTGAGGCTCAAGCCGATGCGTGCCCGTATTAGGGCACGGTCGGAGTCCAAGCAGGTACTCCAGAATGAGCGACAATCTTCTACCGATCCTCTCCAACGATGACTGATGGAAATATGGTCTATTTGAGTCCATCGTTGGCTTGGTGTAGGGGGTCACCATGTTAGACGATGTCTCTCCTTATGCTTAAAATTTGTGTTTGCTAAAAATAAACTATTGTCCGAGCACAGTTGCAGCAGACGATCACCATTATCTGTTCGTTGTGCGGGAATACTAAAATACCCACCTAAATGCCTTTCTATTTGATTTAAACTACCTATCTGGGCATTAAAGTCACCTGCTACGAGTACTATATCTGAACGTTTAGCTTTCTGAAGAAGTTCAGATAGCTTTCTGTAAAATTCATCCTTCACTTCATCTGAGCTGCAGTCAGTGGGAGCGTAGGCAGAAACGACAAAAAGGCAACGACGTGTGTCCCTATCATACTGAGTTCTTACGGAGCTGTTTAGCCAAACAGTACATAAACGACTGTTAACGGGGATCCACTCTAACAGTGCTTGTTCCGCCCTCATGCTTAATGCTATCCCTGCTCCTGCCAGTCCACGAGAGCTGGCCGTCGGATCACCAGATACACGGAGGGTGCATCTCGTCGGCTCTCCGTTTTGCCGAGGGGAGTTCAAGTGAATGACCACACTGGGATCCTGTGTGCGTGTTTCAGGGACACAGAATACATCAATAGTACGAGATTCTAGGGTTCTAGCCAAGGAAGCCTGTTGACAGATTTGACATAGGGTGTGTACGTTGAAGGCTCCAATGTGTAGTTTGGAGCGAGGTTTCAATAGACCTGGGACAGTGTTTTGAGCACTAGAATAGTTGGCTATGGTGACACTTGAAAAAGAAGCCGAAGATGGATATCCATGGGATAAGGCGAGGTGTGCATTTTTAGGGTCGACCTTTTCTAACCCCACCCCTCCTTGTGGGAAGGCAGCATCGCTGTCATGCTGGTTTTCTAAAGGAAACACCATACTGCTGTCACACCTCTGTACAGTCAGCAGTACGGCTTCGCCTTCGGACCTTGAGTTTGTTGCTTTTAGTCTTACCGCTCTTCAAACGACCTGTCTAACATGGTAGGACCTTGAGAAACGGTTATTCCAGCCAGTATAGCTTGGTTGCTTCATCACGATGGGCAAGCCTGATCACCACGTCAAGGTAGCAACAACGGTCGGAAGATGAGATGTTTGGTTTATAAAGATCACCAACATACGTGAGCTTATTGACAACGATTCAATTCTATTGTGATTTATGCTACTTATGTCTTTTGACGTAGTTGTAGGGATCTTGCTAGTAGGTTTGATGGGTCTAGCATTGGGTCTCAACTTATCAGGTAGGGCACTGTCATCGACGTGTGCTGGCTTGAGAAGATCAATGCTGACTACCTCGACGCGGCCGTGTCGGTCAACCTTGAAGGTCTTTTCATGACGGGAAACCACGTGAAAAGGTCCTACGTAAGGGTGTTGCAAAGGTTTGCGCACCGAATCTACTCGTATGAAAACATGTGAACAGGTAGATAAATCTCGAGGGAGAGCGACCTGTCGATGCTGTATTCGAGCTGACACCGGAGGCAGTGTTCGCATATATTCAGACAGTCGTTGTACGTAGTCTGATTTACCAAAATAGTTACTGCGGTAGTGGTAGGCGGTTGTGCGTATGTGTTCCGTACCAAGCAGCCGGGTCAGAGAGGAGAAAAATTCAGACTCAAATTGTTTTCCTCGGTCAGTCATGATAGTCGAGGGAAAACCGTACATCGCTATCCATCGTTCTACGAAACGGTGAGCAACTGTCTCCGCCTTAATAGATGTGTTGGGAATAGCTTCGGGCCATCTTTTGAAACGATCGATCCACGTGAGTATGTGGTCATACGCGTTCGATAGTGGCAACGGTCCCACAATGTCTCTATGAACGTGATCGAAGCGAGCATCAGGCTAAACGAACGTGTCCATGGGGGCAGCTACATGCATGTGCACTTTTGGTCGTTGACATTGTAAGCATTGCTTTACTCACATATTGACATCTTTATTCATGGACGGCCAGACGTATCGTGCGGCGATGAGGCATAATGTGGCTGCGATATCTGGATGAGACAGTCCACGCAGAGCATCGAAAAAGACCACAGTAAGCAGAGGGTACGATGGGTCGGGGAAGACCATTAGAAGCACCACACAGGATAGTACCTGAGTTAGTAGCTAGGGGTACTTCCCGGCACTGAAGGGATGTAGAATGTTGTGCTTCTGTACAAGAGGTG